TTGAAATAAAACATCTAATCTCTCACTGGCATTAGAGTGATTTGTAAAGGGAAAAAACATTTTTTTTTAAATAACATCCCTATACTTACCTGCTCTTTGAAATGGAATTGCACCGCGTGACCCCAAACCTCCTCCTCTCAGGTCCCCCTGTCCCTTAATCTCTGTCTAGTGCTCCTATGGGAAGCAGCTGCCCATGGGGGCACTTGTGTGTGCCCTGCTGCTGCATCCATTAACAGACAACGGGACTCGGCCCCGCCCCCTGCTCCCTCGTCACTGGCTTTGATTGACCACACAGTGGCTTCCGGTGCCCCAGCAAATCCATTGAGACATGGAAGTGGGGATCGAATGAGGGCTCAGGTAATTAAAATGTGTGTGTGGGGGGGTTGCAAAACTGGTGCCTAAACATTTTTTTACCTTAATGCAAGGAATGCATTAGGGTAAAAACTGTTTGGGCTTTAGAACCACTTTAACACAGCAGTTTGTTTTTCTGTAACCCCCCGTCAGTGTTTTTACCTTTTGCTCCTGCCAGTATATCTATTTTAAAAATGAAACCCTACCATTACATATGATTTTGTGTACACTGAAAATAGGCAGCGAGTTCACACTGAGCGATCTTACAGAAGAACTTCATTAAAATAGTCAGGGGCTGCTTAGCAACCAGCAACTGTTGAGATAATGAACACTTTGGAGAGAAGAATGTAATGTCAAATATAGAGATGCCCAATACTGATTAATGTCAAATATAGAGATGTACGAGTGCTATAAATAATATCGATACCTTAACCGATACTTTGCGCTGCAATTTGCATTCATTAACGCAAATTGCACTGCAAAGATTAGTATGCGATTTGAACAGGATTGCGATTTCTGTCCAAATTGCATGCGGTTTCCCCACTGGTCCTGTGTGAATCCAGGCTTGTCATACCCCGCTTTCACACAGGAGCGGTGCGGAAAACCTCCCAATCAGATGCCGTCTAGCCCGGACTGTCATGGCTGCAAGGAGAGGAGAGAAAACGGCAGAGATTTCAAATCCCTGCCACTTTCTCTCCTCTCCTTCCACCGAGACTCAGCATGGGATGCCTGCAGGGAGGTTTCCCGCACCGCTCCTGTGTGAAGTCGGGCTAGGAGAAACCTGGATTCACACAGGAACAGTGGGGAAATCGCATGTTATTCTTTGCAGGCAATTTGGGTCCATTAACGCAAAGTATCGGTGCTTGGTATTGGCGAGTACTTGACCGAAAGTGTAGGTACACGTACTTGCCGATTTCGAAAAAAAAATAAAATGCTGATCAGTGCATCCCTAGTAAAATATGGTGTAGCAGTCTGTGACGTAGCGGGGTGTTGCATATACTATATTGTACAAGTGTTTGATGCAGGCTGCTAAAGCGAACACAAGATGGCAGTGTCCTGCAGAACAGCGGCATTCACACTCTCTATACAACAGCCCCATGGAATTTGTATGCTGAGCCGCAGGACTTGACTAGGGAGCAGTGCAGTAAGAACTACACTTCCCAGAGGAGCTGGCGTGTGAGCAGAGAGATGCGGCAACTACAGGCAAAGTGACATACCCGTACGTCGCTCTGGCTGTACTAACACAGGACACAGCGGAATGAAGATTCCGGTGAATGGGAACCAGTGATCATGTGATCGCTATGTAAGCAAAGCTGTTATGAATCAATCTCATCCATAACAGCTCTGCTACTCTTCCTAGCGAGCTGTGATTGGCCCACAGCTGTCACATGATACATAGAGCCAATCCCAGCACCCTGTACCATGTGACCAGCTCCAGACAATCACAGATCACTATTCCTGAGCTGTCAAAACTTAACTCATGACAGTTCATAAATGAGTTTGGTTCTGACAGCAAGTATTACATTGCAGGAGAAATGATCTGAAGTGTAGAAAGAAAAAAAAAAAAAAAAACCCTGATCACCACCCCCCCCTCCACAGTAGTACAATGTTACTATGGTAACATTGTACTATTCTGATAAGTGTTTTTTTTTAAATGTTTAAAAAAAAAAATAAAAAATAACATTTCATTTAATTTTTCTTGTTCAGCTACTTGCCAACGGCTTACCTGCATCTTCTTGGCAAATCGATGTAATCTTGTGCTGCTTCCTATTTTGGGGTGTGAACGCACCTGCCCCCAAACCCCCCCCCCCCCCCCCCCACCTGTCGGTTCAGGGAGAGAAGTAAGCACTGCGTAAAAGCACCACTACATTTTACACACACGTTATATTAGCACAATTAACCCTATGATCGCCCAACCAGTGCCATTAGTACAGTGTCAATATATAGAATTTTTTACTGATCACTGCATTCCTGCCACTAACAATATCAGATAACCTCAAGGTCAGTTAGCATTCGGTTACCCACACACTATCGCCCTCACGCTATAGGTCGCTAATCACCGCCATTACTAGTTTAGTGTTTTTACGGATCAAGATATTGATCACGTACAGAACTATACTAGTGCCTCTTTTGTATATTGTCCCCAAAAATGCGGGATCAGCCCTGTTCGCTGCCAGCACTAGCGTTTTATCCCCTCCGCTTTTTTTCACGGAAGATTTGTACACTTGATTGTGGGCCAAGGAAATTTATACACTCAACAATACATGGCCATGTAAATAAGTAGTGCAGCGCTATAAGGAAATCACAATATAAGTAAAAAACACAATATAAGTAAAATGTATATACATCATTAAATATACAGTTCATTAGGTGATTTGAAGTGACTTGAGGTGCTCTCATGTAACTGTATCCTCCTATGGGTAAGGTGCTGTGATATTATGTGCGGAAAGAATGCGCACTCACCAGAACACGCAATTTAATGAGCGTTTATGTATATTTCCTGATGTCATCTGCCAATCTGGATAGTATCTACAATCCGGTGAACTCCCTCCTATGGTCCTGGATGTTGTTGATAGGGGTTGTTTGTACTATCCTGGCATTTTAGAGCCTCCGAAACATAGGTAGTGGGGAAGTGATATGAGGAAATATGCTTTTTGAAAGCCTGGAGGTGGTCATGAGATTTTGGGGCTTGTGTGTAGCTAGGCTGCCAAAGAGTCTCACATTTGGTATCCCCATACTTGGAAGCAGTAGGAGAATGTGTTTTGGGGTGTTATTCCATATATCCCTATGACATACATGAGCAATATATCATTAAAATGACGTGTGTAAAAAAAAAAAAAAAAAAAAAAGTCATATTCAAACAAATTTGTGGCAAAAAATAAAATGTTCCATGGACTCAACATGCCTCTCTGTAAAATCCTTGGGTTGTCTACTTTCCAAAAAGGGGTCATTTTGGGGGGGGGGAAAGTTGTACTGCCCTGGCATTTTAGCACCTCCAGAAATGTGATGGGGAGTCAAAGTAAAAGCTATGTAAATTCCAATATATATACCTTAGTTTGTAGACGCTATAACTTTCACACAAACCAATTAATATACATGTATTGAGTTTTTGTTTTTACCAAAGACATGTAGCAGAATACATTTTAGCCTAAATTTATACTAACTTTGAGTTGATTGATATTTTTTATAAACAAAAGTGAAAAATATATAGTTTTTTTTTCTAAATTTGCGGCATTTTTTTTGTTTATAGCACAAAAATTAAAACCTGCAGTGGTGAGCAATAACAATACCACCAAAAGAAAACTCTATTTGTGTGGGGGAAAAAAAGGACGGAAATTTCATTTTGGTATAGCATTGCATGACCACACAATTACCAGTTGAAATAGCGCAGTGCCAAACAGCAAAAAATGGCCTGGTCAGGAAGGGGGTAAATCCTCTGGAGGGCAAGTGGTTAAAGCTGACACAAGTAATAACTGCCTCTGCACATGCCAATTCTGTTTATGATGTGTAACCAAGCTACATTGAAGTTTTCTCTAAACCTCTTACTAGTTTACTCCAATCAGTGTGTCTACTTTTTGGTGGTGATTCATTCCGGTTAAGAGTGTACTGTGGTGTCAGCAGGGGCTGGGCTTTCAGAGAGGGGTCCAGAGCAACAGGGAGTCTGAAAATCTCCAGCAACTCCTAAGGGGGTAGTGCTACATGCAGGGGCGGACTGACAACTCATGGGGCCCCCTGGCAATAGGGGATCATGGGGCCCCTGTGTCCTTGCCCAAACTCAAAAAACCTATGACAAAGGTACCAGGGGCATCTCATGGGGCCCCCTACTGACCCCGGACCCTCAGGCAGTGCCCGAGTTTCCAAATGGTCAGTCCGCCCCTCGCTGCTACGTGTATATACTGTGAGCCACACAGGACACAGTTGCCAACAATTCTAAAAAAGTTCCCAGGGACACCTTTTTTGCTGTGCATTCAGCAAGCCATTATAGTATGTATTTTGTATGTTGAACATTCACTTAACCACAGAGGGTATGATGGTATATGTAGGAAATGAGTATGGATTGTATGACAGTGGGTAATATGTATAGAAGAGGAGCGGCAATAATTGCATGTAAAAATCCGACCTACTGGTTTGACCCAGATGATCGACTTGGGTACAATCAGTATACCCATAGATGGTTTGAATCTCAGTCTGTCCCTGCTGGATCGGCTGAGATTCGAACCATTTTTGTCCAACTTTAGACAACTGAAGCATAGGGGAGAAGACCCTGTGGGGACTGGTCTAGCAGTGTGGAGGGTCAGCTAAGTAAATTCTTTGTCTCCCCCCCCCCCTAGACCTAAAAGAGCATATAATCCTTGCAGTGGGGGTGCACCCCAGAGTTTGGCTTTAAGATAGTTTGCCATATTGAATACTTTGAGCCTCCACAAAGACTAAACACAAATATTCTGAATTTAATAGGAAGCTGGCTGTAGTAAACCTCAGAATTGCCAGGGCTTCCTGGAGTGTTAGAAAGCAACCTCAATGCCTTCCCAATGATGTTTTTAGTCTGTTCCTCTTTACTTATGGTCTCCTTGTGACGATTTGGTGACCTAAACCACAAATGTGTGTATGGGTGAGAATAGAATACTGAGCTTTGTGTGTCTTTTATTTCCAGGTACTAAATGAAGCAGTGGGTGCACTGATGTATCACACGATCACTTTAACACGAGAAGACTTGGAGAAGTTCAAGGCTCTTCGAATAATCGTCCGAATCGGAAGTGGGTTTGACAACATCGACATAAAGTCTGCTGGAGATTTAGGTATATTTTTCGTTGGATCAGATGTAAAATTGTGTGATGGAAATATTTGTGTTGATCAAAGCGGCCAATTTGCTTTGATCTGTCCTATTGCAGTTCAGGTTAAAAAAATGAAAAATACGGTTTGATTGCTATAAGTAGCATGTTTTCCTTTCAGGGGCCCATTCACACCTTCTTCCCCTTTTTTCCTTTTCCACATAACATTTAATGCGACATGTTCAGAATTTCGCCCATCTATACTTGCCTTTCTGGTGGCCCATCTCTTGGATTGCCGTCACTTCACTGTTCCCCGACTTCTGCAGGTATTTTTTTTTTTTTTACTCCTCTGGGTTGATCAAATACCTGCTTTCCCTGCCGCTTGCCCTGGTTTTGGATATGTGAGCAGTGAGGCATGGCTGTTCATGCAACCACAAGTGTGGAATACCTGCAGCAGCTGGGGAGTAGTGGTGCGGCGGCTCCAAATAGTAGACATACATGCAGTACCTGCATCTTTGAATGTGCTGCCTACGCACCAGACTACAAAACTTTTTTTTTTTTTTTTTCAATTCAGCATTCCATAACACACTATATTGTATTGCTTTGTGTTGGGTGTGCACATCTATGCAAAATAAATTGCATCACAGTGCATTAATGGTATTATTGGGATGCCAAACAAATTTCATACATGAGGATTACTTGTACCAAGAGTTATGTAAAAGAAAGTGAACCAGAAACCTCTAATCCATTGGTGTCATTGCGTAACAGTCATCCCAAGGTTCTGCATGTGAGATACTCCCCTCTGAAATGGACAGATACTCTTAAATACGATTGGAAGCCTGCTCCAACCCCTTGTTTTCTAAGCTGCCTTATTGGCTCATTATGATAACGGGCGTCCTTGCTGTCCAGCAGCGAGGATCAGAGATTTAGTGAAATATTTTCTAAGCTCCTAGGATTTTTCTAGATTTCTGCATAACTTCTAACAATGAGACGGACCTTCATCTGGATTTCTGGATAATTCCTAAAATTGGATTGACTTTCATCTAAGTCAGAAGACATACTGTCTTATTTACCAAACACATGGAACATTTTTCTTTGAATATCTAAAGTATTCAATGAAGATCCAGCAAAGCATTGATGGTAAAATATGTGAACCTTTTATATTTCAACCAAATGCTGCTTAAGCCAGGCCATGCATGGATCAAAATTTGGACGGTTCAGCAGAATTTTTATCCATGAATTGGCAGGCTGGTTGTACATAAGTCAATCTAGCACACCATCATAATCTGTCCAAATCAGCCTGTTAGAAAATTCTCTCTCGATTAGCGTCACCAGCTATAGCCGAAGCCATTCTGATGAGTGTTTTCTGACAGCAGGGAAATCTTCCCGCTGTCAAAATACAATGACAGTGGGAGAGACGCCTCGAGTTTGTGGATGGGGGAATAGTCTTTTTTTTTTTTTTTTTTTTTTTTTTTTTTTTTTGTCGTTCAACCACTGGTTGAATTGAGAAAAAAATGACTGGTGTATGGCCAGCCTTAGAGGTTGGGAAATGTTTTTGGCTTTTGTGTATTTGAGGAAGTCTTACTAGAACAGCCTGCTTCAAACCTCACCCCATTTCAGTGGAATTCTAGTCCAGTCTCCTGACCTTTTTAAGATATCTCAACTCCTCTGTTTTTATATGTTCTCTGTATTTTTTTTTTTTTAAAATCATGGATCACTATTCTGTCGTATCACTCAATCCCTTGGGTGAGACCGATACCCGGATACTGTACAGTAGAATTTCTTGATACAGCTGTTTGCAAACCTTCCAGGCTCAACCAAGTATAAACCCACTTAATATTCCTTCCACCATGCTTTACATTTGAGATGGGGGATTGATGTAGGTGTTGGTATTCAGTGGTTTCATTTCTCTAAATCCAATACGATGAAGACAAATCAAAGAAAAATTTTTTTTTTCATTTTCTGTCTAGTAAGTGATGTGGAACATCCAGGTAGTCTTTAGCAGACTTGAGGTGAGCAGTAATGTTTTAGTGGGCAACATTGGTTTCCTTGCTGCTTAACTACCATGAAATGCACTTTTTATTTCCCCCAGTGTTCAACTCATAAACACTGATGTTATCAAGTGCAAATCAAGCCTTACAATAATCATCTTCCATTGTTTACCTTTTGTGAGGGTTCTGCAGTATGCTCTCTTGCACTCCTTTTTACCGGAATAGTAGACGTAAATTTCTATCAATTTTTTAATTTTTTTTTTTTTTTGTATTGAAAAGGCAAGCATTTTTGATAAATATTCATATCTTAAAAATTGGCATCTGACATCTATTTGATTGGGTTACATCACACTTCAACCGTTGGAGGCCATTGTAGCAAACTTAATTAACGTGGTTGTAAACCTCAGACATGAAATATGAACAAAGCCTATTCCTCTACATTATGTACTTGTCTCAATTAAGAGCACCAAGTGTAATTTCTGCTGCTTTGTTCCTCTATCTGCCTGAATCACTTCTGGCAAGTTTTCCTGACACCAAGAGAAAAATGGTGACCGGGAGGGAGCTCCTCCAGATTGACAGCTTCAGCTCTGTTCCTGTGAGCTGTGTGGAGGGGGGTGTGTGTTCCTTCCCTCCAATCAGCTCTCAGAACTCTCCTCACTGAGCTCTGCAGAGTATAGCGTCAGCTCTCTGCCCCCCATTTTTTGACGGCTCTAAAAGTTTTATATATTCAGCACTTTCAAGGGATGTAGAGAAGAGAAGATTGCAGATGGAAAAGTATAACTTGTATAGGAGGATTTGTTTATTTATTACAGGTACTTGTATAGCACCGTCAATTTACACAGCGCTTTACATATATATTGTACATTCACATCAGTCCCTAACCCTCAAGAGGTGTACAATCTAAGGTCCCTAACTCACATTCATACATACACATACTAGGACCAATTTAGACAGGAGCCAATTCACCTACCAGCATGTCTTTGGAGTGTGGGAGGAAACCCACGCAGGCACAGGGAGAACATGCAAACTCCAGGCAGGTGGTGCCGTGGTTGGGATTCGAACCAAGGATGCTAGTACTGCCAGGCGGAAGTGCTAACCATTTAGCCACTGTGCTGCCCATTTGTTTAATCTCTGTGTATGACCTGAGGCCAGTCACTCCACTGGGTATATGTAAGGGTTTAAAACCACTTTAATGGCCATAGTTCTGTGATGGGATGTCCATAAAGTGTATATAGGTCTGATGGTCAGGTGCTCAGATACTTTTTGGCCATAGTATGTAGGATTTTCCCTTCCTGGTTTATGATGCATTATTTGGGACTGGCCTCCATCTCCACACCTGATGTGCACAGTACTGGGAGAAAGCCTCTTCTAATTCATGGTGGTGCTGAGCTTTCTTTTTTTCTGTGATTTAGGCCTTGCTGAAGAGGTAGGGTGGCCACACGCAAGTCCCCCTATTTTTAATTCAACTAGAATTCAAACCTCATTAGACAGGGTTTTCGTAACACAAACCGTTGTTCTGAATTTCCTTTGACATTGTTGTAGTCAGATTAGATTAAAATTCAGTTTAGTAGGGGTCACCTTTAAAGGGGTCTGCCTGAGCAGGATATTAAAAAAAAACAAAAGAACATTATGCACCACACCACTAAAATACATGCACATTGCTCCATGTTCTGCCTCCTAAAACCAATGCAAGTACAGAAAAATATCAATCCGGCCACAAAATCCGTTGAGCTCCTAGCTTCCTGTCTAATTAACAGTTCTGCCTCTACTGCTTCGAAATCCTAGTCTGTGTTTTCAGCCCTTCCTGAGCTATTTTGCTGGACTTCAGAACATCTTCCTCTCTCCAAACATAAGTGGTGGTGGTCTGTAGTACCTAGAGGAGAACTAAGGCATGTATAACAAAACTGGAAGGTTATTGCTCTAGAGGCAGAGTTGTCTCACTACAGGAAGTTTGTAGCTTGCTGGACTTTTGTTAGATCAACTGGTATTTTCTGTAAATGCAGCACTTAATAAGAAAAAAAATAAAAATGGAGAAATGTGCATTCATTGTATGTGTGTGTGTGTGTGTGTGTGTGTGTGTATGTGTGTATGTGTGTGTATATATGTATATATATATATATGTATATATATATATATATATATATATACCGTATATATATCCATAATATATATATATATATATATATATACCGTATTTTTTCGCTCCATAAGACGCACCTAGATTTTAGAGGCAGAAAACAGGAAAAAAAACATTCTGAACTAATGGACTGCAGACATAGGGGTGACCACAGGAGGGGTGACCAGAGACTGCGGACACAGTTCAGGGGATGACCAGAGACTGCGGCCACAGTACAGGGGATGACCAGAGACTGCGGCCACAGTACAGGAGATGACCAGAGACTGCGGCCACAGTACAGGAGATGACCAGAGACTGCGGACACAGTACAGGAGATGACCAGAGACTGCGGACACAGTGCAGGGGATGACCAGAGACTGCGGACACAGTGCAGGGGATGACCAGAGACTGCGGACACAGTGCAGGGATGACCAGAGACTGCGGACACAGTACGGGGATGACCAGAGACTGCGGACACAGTACGGGGATGACCAGAGACTGCGGACACAGTACAGGGATGACCAGAGACTGCGGACACAGTACAGGGATGACCAGAGACTGCGGACACAGTACAGGGGATGACCAGAGACTGCGGACACAGTACAGGGATGACCAGAGACTGTGGATAGTACAGGGGATGACTGCTGACCTTTGGGGAGGGGGGGAGCGGGTACCTGAATTTGACAGATACCCGCTCCCACTTCCGCGGAGTTGTTCTTTCATCTTACCTGTTCCTCTATCCAGCCGCGCGCTGTCTTCCCGGCTTCTGTAATGGCGCTCGGCATGACAGCCGGGTGCCCAGTGCGCATGAGCGAGAAGCACTTACGCTTTGTGATTGGTCCGGCGGCTTCTGGGATCTGTCATGTGTCCCAGGTGCCGCCTTACCATTCACAAAAAGCACCGCTTCCTGCGCATGCGCACTTGGCACCCGCCTGTCATGCCCACACTACAGAAGCCGGGAAGACCGCGCCGCTGGATAGAGGAACAGGTAAGATGAAAGAACAACTCCACGGAAGTGGGAGCGGGTATCTGTCAAATTCAGGTACCCGCTCCCCCTCCCTCCCCAAAGGTCAGCAGTCATCTCTATAAGGTCCCGCTGTAGAGCTGAGCGGTCGGCCCGGTATTCTGACACGGCGGCAGTGGAAATACCGGACCGGCCGCTCCATATTCGCTCCATAAGACGAACTGACATTTTCCCCCCTTTTTTGGGGGGAAAAAAAAGTGCGTCTTATGGTGCGAAAAATACGGTGTGTGTGTGTGTGTGTGTGTGTGTGTGTGTGTGTGTGTGTGTGTGTGTGTGTGTGTGTATATACATACAGTGGGGATCGAAAGTTTGGGCACCCCAGCTAAAAATTTGTATTAATGTGCATAAAGAAGCCAAGGAAAGATGGAAAAATCTCCAAAAGGCATCAAATTACAGATTAGACATTCTTATAATATGTCAACAAAAGTTAGATTTTATTTCCATCATTTACACTTTCAAAATAACAGAAAAACAAAAAAATGGCGTCTGCAAAGGTTTGGGCACCCTGCAGAGTTAATATCTTGTACTGCCCCCTTTGGCAAGTATCACAGCTTGTAAACGCTTTTTGTAGCCAGCCAAGAGTCTTTCAATTCTTGTTTGAGGTATCTTTGCCCATTCTTCCTTACAAAAGTCTTCCAGTTCTTTGAGATTTCTGGGCTGTCTGTCACGCACTGCTCTTTTAAGGTCTATCCATAGATTTTCAATTATGTTGAGGTCAGGAGATTGTGCAGGCCATGGCAAAACCTTCAGTTTACGCCTCTTGATGTAATCCCCCGTGGATTTCGAGGTGTGTTTAGGATCATTATCCATTTGTAGAAGCCATCCTCTCTTTAACTTCAGCTTTTTCACAGATGGCATCAAGTTACCATCCAAAATTTGCTGAAATTTTATTGAATCCATTTTTCCTTCTACTCGTGAGATGTTCCCTGTGCCACTGGCTGCAACACAACCCCAAAGCATGATTGATCCAACCCCATGCTTAGCAGTTGGACAGAGGTTCTTTTCATTAAATTCTGTGCCCCTTCTTCTCCAAACGTACCTTTGCTCATTCCGGCCAAAAAGTTCAATTTTAACCTCATCGGTCCACAGAACTTGTTTCCAAAATGCATCAGGCTTGTCTATATGTTCATTTGCAAAGTTCAAACGATGATTTTTGTGGTGAGGACGTAGAAGAGGTTTTCTTCTGATGACTCTTCCATGAAGACCATATTTGTACAAGTATCTCTTTATAGTGGAATAGTGTACCACAACTCCAGTGTCTGCCAGATCTTTCTGGAGGGATCGTGCAGTCAAACGTGGGTTTTGAATTGTTTTTCTCACAATCCTGCGAACTGTTCTGTCTGATATTTTTGTTGGTCTTCCAGATGTTGCTTTAACTTCCACTGTTCCTGATGGCTGCCATTTCTTAATTACATTCCGAACAGAGGATATTGACATCTGAAAACGCTTTGCTATCTTCTTATAGCCTTCTCCAGCTTTGTGAGCGTCAACTATTTTCAGTTTCAGTTTTCTAGACAACTGCTTAGAAGAACCCATGGTGCTAATTGTTGGGGCAAGGTCAGATGAGTCTGGGCATTTAAAACCTTTGAGATTGACATCACCTGGTCTGCCCAGACGATGATTGAGAACAATCCATGACACTGGCAGGTCTCATCTTGGCAAAGGGGGCAGTGCATGCTATAAATGCTGCAGGGCGCCCAAACTTTTACAGACGCCATTTTTTTGTTTTCTGTTATTTTGAAAGTGTAAATGATGGAAATAAAATCTAACTTTTGTTGACATATTATAAGAATGTCTAATCTGTAATTTGATGCCTTTTGGAGATTTTTCCATCTTTCCTTGGCTTCTTTATGCACATTAATACAATTTTTGGCTGGGGTGCCCAAACTTTCGATCCCCACTGTATGTGTGTATATGTATGTATATATATATATGTGTGTGTGTGTGTGTGTGTGTGTGTGTATATGTGTGTGTATATATATATATATATGTATATGTGTATCCTTATCCTAGTAGATCCTCTCTGTAAGGGAATTCAAAGCTAATTGGGAGTTTCATGGTTGTTCAGGTTGTATTTCTATGAAATAGATATGAGTTGTGGTGTGCTGTGAAATAATGTGTGAGTTCCTGGACGTAGTTCAACAATTCCATCTGCCAGAAGAAGTGAAGCCAGGACAGAGATGACAGGTTGAACTTGATGGACATGTGTCTTTCCTGTGCTTTTTCTTCTAGGAATTGCAGTATGTAATGTGCCAGCAGCTTCTGTAGAAGAGACAGCCGACTCCACAATGTGCCACATCCTCAATTTGTACAGGAGAACTACATGGCTGCACCAAGCATTACGAGAAGGCACGAGAGTCCAGAGTGTGGAACAGATAAGGGAGGTGGCATCCGGGGCAGCCCGAATCCGAGGGGAGACTTTAGGCATCATAGGACTGGGTGAGTTTTTGTTCTGTACATGAAATTTAAACCTGGAGTACTGCACTCTGCTGGCCGATAATTGCACTCACTGGTACTCGAGATGCAATAACAAATGAAACAATTAAAGGACACACAATCCAATCCTTTTTTTTTTTTTTTTTTTTTTTTTTTTTTTTTAGTAAGTTATGGGTGAACCTTGGTTGGATAAATCACCCACTTTGCTTTATTACACACACTCAAGTGGTGAGGTCCCCCTGTCAGAGTTGTAGCTCTGATCCCACCATGGAGGCTTACTCTTACTTGCTGCAGTAGGTAAAGTCTAAATAGTCCACTTCAGCCTGAGCTGACCACACGTTTATTAAGGGCACTTGTATTGCGCTGACAATATATGCAGGGCTTTACATGTACATTCACATCAGTCCCTGCCTTCAAAGATCTTAGGTCCCTAACTCGCATTCATACATACACATACTAGGGCCAATTTAGACAGGAGTCAATTAACCACCCAGCATGTCTTCAACGTGTGGGAGATAACTGGATTACCTGGAGGAAACCCACACAAGCACACAGAGAACTTGCAAACTCCAGGCAGATACTGCCCTGGTTACGATTCGAACCAACGACCTAAGTGCTGCAATTCAGAAGTTCTAACCACTTAGCCACTGTGCTGAGCCCACTTGAAACTTTTCTTAAAAGGCAATTATTTATTCTCTCTTTCATCTTTACTGCATATTTTCAATACACTGCATGACCTTTTTTTTTCCTCAAACAGATCTGAGTGAAGTGCAGGTTAAGTTGCATGTTTTTTTTAATTTTTATATGACATAAAAGTTACAAAACATAGCCCTGGGGCATTCCCCGGCGAAAACAAAAAAGACAACTACAATAACACCCATAGTCCAGCTCAACCCGAACAACCCTCAGTATTGAGGGCAGGAGTATACTCTGTTGGATTGGAAACAATCAAACAGAAATTTGGAAATATTCAAGAAATAACATTTGAGAGATCGGTACCTAATGACTATGTTGGACCATATCACAAAAGTACTGAGAATACGTTTCCCGCCACTACCTCCAAGGGAGTTGGGTAACGCAGGAGGGGGACATATAAAGGAAACCATAGACAACAACCCTTTACCAATCTCCCATTATGTAGGTATATTTATGGAGAGTTGAGCATAAGATTAAGCAGAAATTATATGCTCTTCATCATTGGCAGTAGAGGATTCCAAACAGATATTCCAAACTTTATGAAATTTATTTGAGCAACCTCGGGAGAGGTATGTCATTTTATATAGGGGAACCACTGCGTTGACCAGCTTCTTCCAATGGCCTAAGGTATGGAGGCTATTAGATTTTCAGGTCAACACAATGGCCTTCCTAGCATAAAAAAGTAGTAGACTTCGTAATATTCTGAAGCTCTAGAGAAAGCCAGCTGGTCGACCAGACCCAGTAGGCAAACTGACACCATTGAGGGGATAGAAATTTTGGTGACTAAGCAAATGAAGCAGAGTACATACAACATAATGTTTGAATACAGGGGCAGGACCAAAAAAATGTGGAGAAAGTCTGCAGGGGCATATCCACACCTCCAACAGTTGGACTCTACGGTAGGGTAAATTATATGGAGGCGGTGTGGGGTGGAGTATGCCATATGAAGTATTTTAAACTGAGTAGCCTATCTCTCATAGCTACCAGGTGGGTAAAGGGGTATTCCCAAACGTCTTCCCAATCTTCCCCATCCAGCTGCAGCACCTCCGCCCGCCACATCTCTTGAAGGGAATCAAGACCAGTATGGATAGAGGGCAGAATAACTTTATAGACTGTGGATAGAAGGATAGAGGTTTAGTTAGATCATCAGTCCATAGCAGGGTCTCCAAATCGTCGGGAAGTAAATGGAGTGGGTCAGCCCCAAATTGCAAAGAGTAGGCATGGTGGAGTTGCAGGAATCGGAAAAAAGAATTTGGGAGGTCATGGAGTTGTTTCAATTTCTCAAAGGTGATAATATTGCCTCTGTCACAGATATTGTTCAAATATTTAATCCCCTAGAGCTCAAACAGAGGGTCTGGGATGGTTAAGAATTCAGAGAGCTGCGGGTTGAGCCATAGGGGAGTATATGGTGACCAGGAGGCAGAGGCCAGAGGGGTCGTAAGGATGACAAGTCTCAAGGTCTGGATTACAGCCTTCATGCAGAACGTGAGGTGATGAAATGGGAGTCTAGGACTACGTTACAGTAGATTCCGAAGGGTTCATATGAGCCAAGGTAAGTGGCTTTGAGAACCCCTGATGCATTAGTGTCATTAGTGCTGACACAATTATGCACATGAGTGAGTAAAGCCAAGCCAAGAAGTATTTGTACATGCCAGGCCTCCCTGGGTCCAAGGCCGACAGTATTTTTTTTTTTTACTAAATCTCGGGGGACGAGCGCTCCAAATAACTGCACTTCTTCGAGAGTGGAGATGACAAAAATGTCTTGTGGGGATCCAGATTGGAGAATGCCACAAGGCATATAGTAACACAGGCAATATTTTCATTTTGACTAGATTTATAACCCGATTATGGTGAAGGGGAGATTATCCCAGGCCCTTAGCCTTTGCCTAATGGTCTGCACTGCTGGTTCTAATTTTAATCATCAAAAGTCTTGCATGGCAGGAGAAATAATGCCCAAATACTTCATGGAGGTAGTCCACTGTAGGGGGGAGTTCTGGGTCAGCTGAAGCTCGGGCACCTGAGTCTATAGGCAAAATGAGCGATTTGTCCCAGTTAGTGTAGAGCTCAGAATAAGTAGCAAAGTGGAGAGTATAGCTAACGCCTCCTGCAATAATGGGCCTGGATCTTGCAAAAATAGTACTAGGTCATCCGCATATAATGCTAATTTTTCAGTGATATTACCCACACCTATACACAACACTGTGTCAGACTGATGGAGCGCCTCAGCATGTGGTTCCATGGCAAGCGCGAACAGCGCAGGGGGAGAGCGGGTAAGTTGCATGTTTTACAACCTCCTTTCAAAGACTTTTGGAGATTTCCTGAACAAAACACATCTTGGCTTAGAATGGGGGGGAGTATTTATTTTATTACAGGTACTTGTATAGCACCATCAGTTTATGCAGTGCTTTACATATATATTGTGCATTCACTTCAGTCCCTAACCTTCAAGGGGCGTACAATTTAAAGTCCCTAACTTACATTCATACATACATTTACTAGGGCCAATTTAGACAGGATCCACTTAACCTACCAGCATGTCTTTGGCGTGTGGGACGACACTGGAAGGACCTAGAGGAAACCCATGCAGGCACAGGGAGAGCATGCAAACTCCAGGCAGGTGGTGCCATGGTTGGGATTTGAACCAACCGCCCTATTACTGCTAGGCGGAAGTGCGAACCATTTAGCCACGGTGTAAGTTTAGGTAGGTTTTGACTTGCCTTCCACTTTGAACTTCCTATATATATATATATATATATATATATATATATATATATATATATATATATATATATATATATATAATAATCCCTTGAAGATGAATGTATCGTGTGATAATTTTATAGCTTTGGGTTAGAAAGACCACTTATGGGTCAACTGTTCTTGAGCTGGTTGTCAACTGATTGAAGTTAGATGACCTGTTCTGATTGCCCTGGTTTCTTTCCACCATAAATGCCACTGGGCCACACTGCTCTCATTTCAATCTCGCTTACCTGTATAGGTGTATAGGAATAAACATGAATGATTGACTAAGCGGTAGGTTTGTGTTTATCTGCACACTGTGAGCTTCAGAAACTATAAGGTAGTCTGATCCTGCCTGCATGTCTATCCAACATTTATTGTCTGCTGCATGTCCTATGTCTATCCAACATTTATTGTCCATTTACACCCATATAGTCTATTGTCTCTCCTGATTTACATGTATTGATTGTGTGGGCTGTGTGCTATTCAGATTGTTTTTGCATTGATGGTTAACCTCCCTACACCTCTTTCTTTCTCAGCCAATCCCATACTCTCCATCTAGAACTGGTTTTTCAGTCTTTGAGGTGTGATAATCCTCTGACAAACAGTAGCTTGGGGGCAAGGTATGTGTGGCATTATTATGGGTGTAGTATCTATCCAGCATGCAAGACACTTGCATATTTTAAACCGCCATCATACATATTAAATGTGTGTCTTCTATTTAACCCCCCCCCCCAAAAAAAAAAAAAAAAAAACGAAAAAACAATTTGGCTCTTTAGAGATTGCAGTCAGAACAGCTTCACCACATTCACTAACTTAAAGCAGTATTAAACCCAAAAGCAAACCTTTAATATATTTCAGCTTATCGATTCTTAGATGTGTTGGCTGCACTACTTTTCTTTTTTAGGATTTCATTCCTTTATTATCATCTGGTGATCTGGCCAGTAAGTCTTTTTCAAAAGAACAAGCTGTTCTGTAGATGTAGCAGTCAGAAGGCTGAAACAAACCATTTATTACTGACAGGTGCTTACAGTAATCAACTTTTTTATTTTTATAAAAACCTTTGTCCCAAAGGGAAAAAAATGTTGCTTTACCTGCTTATGAAGTGTTAGCTGGAGTTCAGCTTTAATTTGCTAGTGTATCGAACACTCACTTCCCCCCAGATTAACAATGCTGCTGTCCAAATGTGTCTGTTTATTCATCCAGAGTGTAGGCACTCTAATACAGGTGGTTTGTTACTGGCCAGATCACCAGTTGAAAACAGAAGCAGCACAGTGGCTAAGTGGTTAGCACTTCTGCCTAGCAGCACTAGGGTCATCGGTTCAAATACTGTCCATGACACTACCTGCCTGGAGTTTGCTTTTTCTCCCTGTGCCTGCATGGGTTTCCTCTGGGTACTCCAGTTTCCTTCCACAATCCAAAGACATGCTGGTTGGTTAACCTCCCTAGCGGTCTGATTATGTCCATATTTCTGTGCTCAGAGCGGTACATTTTTTTGCATGGAAATATGTTTTTTTATTGTAGGCCTATAATTTTTAGGAATAACTCACTGAAATCTGTCCGAACAA